AGAAGGGGCCTTTAAAGCCCATCCAGTCCATCCCCCCCTGACATAGGCAGGGACATCTTCAACCAGATCAGGTTGCTCACAGCCCCATCCAGCCTGGCCTTGAATGTTTCCAAGGATGGGGCATCTCCCACCTCTCTGGGCAACCCGTTCCAGTATTTCACTACCCTTAACGTAAAAAATTTCTTCCTTATATCTAGTCTGAATCTACCCTATTTTGAGGTATAACTCCACATCACAGAAAGAATTTCCAGGAGATTACTTCAGGATCAGACTGATCACTTCTAGCTGCAGACACAGCGTACAATTTTGATCCTGTTTTCTGCGAGGAGACAGTAGACAGACATTTCCTATGTTTAGTGGCAACAGAAGGTGTTCAGCCAGGACAAGACGTAGCATAATTTAGAAAGCCATCGCAGCATGCTCAATTTCACTCCTCCTCATGCCATTTCATACAACTGTTTGGTTCCTGAAGTACATAAAAGTCATAAAACATAACTGCAAAGATGTCAGATGCCTTTGACTGCAAGTGCCCAAGACTGCATCGCAGCTGTTTGTGCATCCTTCGGCCTGCTGGTGTCTGTATTTGTCAAGCAGAGTGGAAGAGAAGACCTTAAATCTTTCTATAAACTATAAAATGTCAAGGAAACCTTTACAGTAGTTTACTGTTATCTCAGATCAGCTAATGCCAAGTATTCCTGCAAAAAATACACCAAACTAAATCAGGCTTCTTCCATGACTGTCTAGGACCTGTTTGGGTTTTTTTATTTTATTTTTAAACTTTATATATAATTTTTGACCTTTAAAACATTAAGTGGCAACAAGTTCAATATTTAAACACACAACACGAAAAAAAAATAGCACTTCTTCGAGATCAGACAACTCTGAAATGCGTGTACGTGCTGTATGTGACTTTCAAGCTATGCTTGAAAACTACGATGGTCTTTTTGCCTTTTAAATAGAAAACCTTTTTAGATCATGTATTCTACCCCTTCATTTTTTCCCCCTAACCTGAGATATGACTTGGAGGCGGTTACTTTCTTACTATTGCTAGTTTTCTAATCCTCCCCTTAACACATTTTGGTGGGAAGAAGGTGTAGCATGAGCCAGAACAGACTGCATGTACTATTTGATTTCTCGTTACTATTACTACAGAGAAACAACATTAGCAAAACCATTTCTTGAAACCATTCTCGTTTCCAAATTACCTAGCAGGGACGTAAGAGTTCTTGAAAATATTTTAAAAGACACAGTATGAATGAGAATGCAAAAATACAACAGAAATAATTTCTCTGAATGCGCATTTCACTTGTCCAAACATGTGTAGGGTACCAGAAAGGTGATTAAACTCCAAAGAATGTCATTTTTCTTAGGGGAGGATACATATTTCCAAGCTGACGAATGTGATTTGATTAAACAAGTATTCTATGCTTAAATATTCAACTGGCAGGTTGTAGAAGTGTCATGTGAAGTTTCAATTATAAAAAGTAACAACCCAGCATAGCTTTGAGTCAACAGAGATGCCAAAGGACTCCCAAACAGATGGCCTAAGTGTGCCATACTGTACTTACTTTAAAACTAACAAGGAGACTGATATGATTTCAAAAGATTCAGCAGCTTCCAGACAGAAAAACGCGGCCATTTATTTTGCGAGATGTTTAGCTTGTATCTGCATTCAAAGAAGAGAACTAAAGACTATCTAAAAAATGACGACAACAGCAGCAACACCAACACAGGCAATTTCACAAAGTATGTCTCACCCCAGACATAACAATCCTTATTTTGCTCTAAACTGGGAGCTATTCTTTATTTAAAAATCTGGGAGCAGACTAACAGAAGCATTAGATGCAGGGCTTGACAAACAGTGTCAGAACATATCATAAATAGTTTAATCTCGGCATTCTTGCTATGTTTATGAGAGTGCAATGAAGTGCTAGGTTTCAGTTCCACAAGAACAGTGCCAAGGAATTTAGGTGGTTTATTCAGCAACCATGTATGTTTGTCACTGGAGTGAGGAACACACTGCTGGCCTAAGTAGCTTAAATTTGGGAGTTGTATACCCATCATTTGCTTGGAGATCTTTCAGACTCCAGAACTTCTGAGGAATGGTACTCTTTCTTCCTACATATTTGATGCACTCTGGAGATGTTGAAATGGACCACTGAAGAAGTGCCTTAATGAGATATTTTGTGAAAAGTATATTCTTACCTTAGCTTTGTGGTTCAGGTAGTCATAAAAGTATATTTATGGGGAAAAAAAAAAAAACAACTTGCAGCCTTTTAGTAGTATCAAAACGATTTTACGGAATACAAGAAGGGAACAGTTACTGAATAGATTATAAAAACTAATATATCTACAGTTACAAAGCTGACCATATATTGTGTGCCACTTACAGGTAGTCTGTAGCTCATTCTGCCTTCAGTAATGTGGCCAGACATGTGCTACGTTCTCACCGCAGCCTCCTACTTCTTTCGTACGCTCTCAAGTTCCAATCTAACAGTAATTGCAGCAGACAAAATTGAATACTTCTACGAGAACCTTGAGATTTAAGTGACTTGGATCATCCAAGTAACCAAATCTGAAGCAGATAAAGTATTTCCCAAATGTAACTTACATTCTGAAAGCTCTCAAAATATTTAACCAGCTTATAGTAAGTGCTTTACAAAGCTGGTAAAGAAACTTGAAAGTGAAGTAACACATTTATACAGCATAACATTAAAAACAAACACGTGTACTTGTGAAATTGCTCTCAAATGGAAACATCAGCTATGCCCCCAGTGCACGATTTTTAGAAGCTCTTAATATGGATCTCAGGGCAACACTGCAGTCCAAAAAAAAAGTACGAAGCCAAGTAAAATGTTTAACCTAGTCAATAATCACGATGCTATGTGTTATAGTAAAGATTGAGTACAGAGAAAACCTTACTGTAATTACTCAACAGTTTATGTTGGAGTTTGAAAAGCTGCTAAAGGACAGGTGACTGAAACAAAGAAATTTAATAATGCACGTTAATTACTATGCTCAATTCAGTTAGGAGCAGGTGAGAAACACGAGCTATTAGTTTAGAAAGAAAACTGCAAGTTAAGACATTTGAGGTTTTCTAGAGCAACTGAAGTCCTTTGAGAGTTGGTAGGATTGACTCTCCAATAGCTGGGAAGACAAGATCTCAGGCAGGAGCTAATCCTGAAAAAATCTTGCAGAACACAGGTAAATGGCCCAACAGGGATTCATATACTTAGCTAAACTTTCTCCTTTTCAAAAATCTGTTGTGAAATAAAGTATTAAGTCATGAGGGTTTGGAAGGCTATAGCCTGAAGGACTAAACCTTCCAATCTGTCTCGGACAACAGGAAATGGGTTTAATCTTTATACACCCACACACAGGCAGCTCTACTCCTCAGAAATTTGTTTTCCAGATATAAATGTGCTCGTTTGCTACCCTTCTGAAAGCGATGTACAGGAAGGAGTATGACCATATGCCTAGAGAACTAAACTGAAGCAAACCAGATTAATGTTCTGTTAAGTTACCTAGGAAGTGCTTGGACAAGTTATTAAAATGGTATCAAAATTAATTTGCAAGACATAATTACATAGTCATATTTTATTGTGTCAAACCAGGAAGATCTCGGTGAGTTTAACCCTTAAGGCAAGGTACCTCTGCTGCCCTGCCAAAAGTCACTGAGCTTCAAAGAGAAATCAGACACTTCCAAGCATCCCAGTACTCTCAACTATGCACAATAAAAGCCTTCCATCTTGAGTTGGTCTATTAGGAATTAGTGTTAAAATATAATACTTTGATTGCATACTTCCGAAGAGAAAAGTTTTTGGGGGTTTGGTTTTTGTTTTTTTTTTTTTGACAGGCTTCATGTCAATAGAGACAGTACTTTCCAGAAATTCATTTCGCCTCAGCCATTTTCTTTGCTCCCTTTTCAAACCCTGCATATGGAAAAAACAAAGTTACTGGCGCTGCAAGCCTGACTTTGCAGCCATCCACACACGCACAGGATCAGAGCGGAGCAGCTGGCCTCCCGCAGCTGGTCAGCGCTGCATTCCTTCGAGCTCTGTGGTTGCAGGCTACAAAGTGAAGCTTAACCAATAATTGCCACTATTTTCGTATTAGAGCACACAGGTGCAAAGACAGTGGGAAAATAGGCAATGTGCCAAAATGCAGGAGAAGGCATTCAGAGAGTGAATTTAAGGACAGCAAGATAGTTTCCTAGTAGCACAACAATAACAATAGTATAGCTGCATGTTTAAAGACAATGATTGCAGAACAAATGAAAAACTCTTCATTGAATATTAAGTTGATTTATAGTAGATAACAGTTTACAGTGCTCTTTTTCAATTGATTAAAATCCTCTGCGTTAAAGCAAGCTATTTATTTTCTCATGTTTATCAACCACTACTCCAGCACTGGCAGTAACTCCTCAGTGCAGCTACGCTTGCTATCTGCAGTTTATTCCCACAGCCAGTAGCAAAACATGAAAGGCAAGTTTTCCAGTCACCAGCCAAAACATACCTATAAGACACACTAAGATTTTCTAGCACTATTAGAAGCCCAATCAATAGTATATGCACACCAACAGACCTAGAATGGCAAAGCTGAACTACTCTATTAGATCACAGAATTCATAGAATCACAGAATCGTTAGGTTGGAAAAGACCCTTAAGATCATCGAGTCCAACCGTTACCCTACCACTGCCAAAACCACCACTAAACCATGTCCTCGAGCACCACGTCTACCCGTCTTTTAAATACCTCTAGGGATGGAGACTCAACCAATTCCCTGGGGAAGTGGTTTCCAACATGAAAAACAATGTTTCCAATGTGGTTTCCAACAGGAAAAGCTCAGATGACTGTCCCACGGCTACTGAAAGCAGTCACAAGTAACTTCAAACTCCGCGTCACTTCAGACTACCCAAAACCGTTCAAGTTTTTTTTTTTTGTTCTTGGTGATCTGTTGTTTTGAAGAAAGTACATAAGTATATTTACAGCATACTTACTCTCGCTCTTTTTCCGTCAGTTTGTCATTGATATTATCTTTGATTGTAGACCGGGAGCCCTTGTGAATTATGGGATACCTGAGTGGCACTTGTAAGAAGTAGGATATCATTGACACCAAGTGAGCGGTGTAGCCCAGGGCAACAGCAATGCTTCCGTCATCTTTTGCTGTCAATAACAAAAAGATTCCGGTTTTAATCAATTGGATCTCACTGCAGGCTCAGCACAAGTTCATCCTTACTGCTTAGGGAATGATATAATTAATGAAGCTATCAGAAGCTATAACTTAAGAACAGATGCAAGCCTGAAACAAATTTAGACTGCTTTACAATTGTTTGCAGTTCACTATTTCACTAAAGGGCAATGTAAAACGGGTGATGGCTTGCTCTCCTTCCAATTTTACACTTTCAAAGCTAAAAGTTACTCTTCTCAACATTTGGGTGGGTGGGGGAGGGTAAAGAAGAGATGGAAAAAGTGAAACAAAATTCCCAAGACAAAATTCAAGTCTTAAACTTTCTTGCATTTCTCTAGATGTAGCTGACATGTATGGCCGGGGTCAGGGAAAAGCTGCATTCCTCCAGAACTTTATTCATTAGTGAGATCAGTTGGAGAGACACCGACCCCAGGGTACGAACTCTGTTCTCTGCCAATAACTGGAAGAACTTAGATTAACCCATTGTTTTAAAGCATCATTTTCAATTTGACATTTAAGGTTTCAACCTTAAAGCTTCACCTGCTGGGAATACACACAGGTCTTGAGATTCGAATTACATCCTTTAGCCATGTAAGGGTTTTTCCTTTCTGTTTTTCTCTATTTTTCTTCTTTGTAAGCGAACACACCAATACAAAACATGACAGAGTCATCCCTTCCAAGGCACAAGGGAGTCCTGTGAAATCAACTCGAGGACCTTCTACGAAAGCTTATAATGATGTTCAACAACAACTATGAAATCCTACTGAGCTTTATTAGAACACGACACGATACATGGATTTCAAAGTTACGCTCCTTTCAAAAACGATTTTGTAAAAAGTGTTGAACATTGGCAGCAAAACTGTGTTTTTAGGGAATAAAATTTTTTTGATCCTTCAGATGCCTGATTTTTTTTTCAAATCTGCTAAGTGTCTGAAATAAGATACATGTCAGACAGCTGGTGTTCAAATTTAACCGCATATTTCACTAAGTTGAATGCTTAGTACTTCTTCCTCGTAATACAATATTTCTAGAGATCTTTATAAAAAGAATTACTAATTCTTTTGTAAGGAATTAATACCAGTAAACTGAAAATGGGCCAAAAGATGCATGCCACTGATTTCTCAAGAATTACCAACTGAGTTCATTACCACATTTAGTGCAATCAGGAAACAAAGCAACAGACTGATTTTTATCATTCTGACAAATTAATTTGCTTTAAAGTTTATTCCTCCATTATTCTAGCATCCAATATACAGGTTGTTAGCCCAAGTTAAGACCTCTGGGATGGATTTAAAGAGTTAGACAACTGATAGAGGTTTCTGGGAGGCCCAAGAAACCACATGCCTTGCAGAGTGAGCAACCACTGGGAGCAAGAAATTCTCAAGGGGATTTTAATGAAGTTTGATTCATGTCAAACATTTGCAGATGAATACATGCAGTTACCTGTACAACTGTTATATGGACAGGTATATTATATATTTGCTTCTGCAACACGATGACTGTAGACCATTAAAGTAGAAGCTGACTTGTAAAAAACTCCATACTGTCAGGCAGCTTTAAAGTCTTACTTATGCAAGGTATCTCACTGATAAGTTCCCCAGCAACTACAGCAAACTGAATGGGGATTCGTGCACATTGCCCCATTGTGAGTTATGGACTGAAAGCAGCCACAATGGAATTTTAGGTCAGACACAAACGTTTTCCAGAATCAGTAGGTTTGGAAGGCAGCTCTGCTCAGAGCAGGGGCAGCTACAGCAGGTTGCCCAGGACTGTGTCCAGTTGGGTTCTGAGCATCCCCAAGGATGGAGACTCCACAGCCTCTCTGGGTAACCTGTTCCAGTGTTTCAGTATTGAGTCTTAGAATAGAACAGAATCAAAATGGAATAGAATCAAAAGAAGCATGGCCAGCAGGGCGAGGGAGGGGATTCTGCCCCTCTGCTCTGGGGAGATCCCCCTGGAGCCCCGCGTCCAGCTCGGGGGTCCTCAGCACGGGAAGGACATGGAGCTGTTGGAGCGGGGCCAGGGGAGGCCACAGCAATGGTGCGAGGGTGGCACAGCTCTGCTGGGAGGACAGGCTGAGAGCTGGGGGGGTTCAGCCTGGAGAGGAGGAGGCTGCGGGGAGACCTGATTGCGGCCTTTCAATACTTAAAGGGGGCCTACAAGAAAGATGGGGACAGACTTTAGCAAGGCCTCTGCTGCAAAAGGACAAGGGGTGATGGTTTTAAACTAAAGGAGGGCAGATTTAGGCTGAACACAAGGAAAAAAATTTTCACGCTGAGAGTGGTGAAACACTGGAAGGGGTTGCCCAGAGAGGTGGGAGATGCCCCATCCCTGGAAACATTCAAGGCCAGGCTGGACGGGGCTCTGAGCAACCTGATCTGGTTGAAGATGTCCCTGCCCATGGCAGGGGGATGGACTGGATGGCCTTTAAAGATCCCTTCCATCCCAGAGCATTCTATGATACTAATACAGAGATACTTTTCTAAGAGTCAATAGTAACTTCCTTTGTACTGGCTAGGAAGTAGGAATAAATAATGCATACGTTTTCTTCTAGTCTAGTCAGAAATTTGGATCCATTGCTATCAGTTTACTTAATTTTATGAAGTTTAGAAGCAGTGTCAACTGTAACAACTAAATTAAGAATATCCAGCTACCTTGAAAGTCTTCAGAATTAGGAAGCTTGACTCCACAAACAAAGTAATCCTTTTGATCATTCTGTAAGTTTAAAATCAACAATGGAAAGTGAGAATGGAACAACAGCATCCAGAAAACAGAAACCTGCACAAAATCCAATGACAACAAAGCATTTTTGTAAAGAAAAAACTCAATATCCAATGAAATCCAGAGTGACTTTGACACAGTGTTTTAGTCCACATTTCATATAATTCAGAAATAAATGCAAGTTTTTAAAAGAAGGAATAGCTTCATCTTAATCAATTCATTATAGAAAAAAAGTTTTGGAGATCAATATTTTGATATCTGTTTATGTGCACTCTGTTAAAGTTCAGATAGCCTACTGTCAGGGTTACTTTATATAATTCTAAACAAAATGGAAAGTATCCATTATATTACAGCTACAGCTATTCTACTTTTATAGTGGAGACTATTTGAGAGATGCTGGCATAAGTCTTCTCCCCACGAGGTTTGAAATCTAAGGACAAAATCCAAGAAAAAGCTGGAAAAAACAGCATGAGTGAAGAGCAAGTTTCATCACAAATAAAACATGATATTTGCTCGTAGTGTAATAAATCGGAAGCTCATTTCACATCAAGCAGATTTTTAGAATGTTAAAAACATACCAGATCAATAGGGTAGATATAGGATAGCTCCGACAGCAATTGCTTGCATCGAATAGTCTGCTGGGCATTTGTCTTCAAAAACAGTTCTCTTCGGGGAAAGAGATCCCAAAACTATTAGTTTCTTCAAAAGCTTTAAGTAAAGGTATCAAGCCCTCGTATCCCTTCTGCATCTTCCCAAGTACCACCTCCCCTCCCCAAAAAAGCTAGGTAATCCCACATGGAAAAAAAAAATACAGAAGACAAAGCTAACTTTTCGTTTTCAGTTGTAGCTCATATTATAGGCATATTTTGACTATGACAATTATTACAAAGCTGTGTTACACCAAAAAGATCCAAAAGTCCTATCGTAGTCCACACATGCAACCAAGCATCTGTTTTCTTCTCTTCTAGACTTGCCACTGTCAATTATCACTTTAGATATCTACAAATTGTAGCAGAGATGTCTTAACAGAAGTTTTGGGGCAACTTCAGGAAGAATTTGGTGTCAGGAGTCCCACTTCAAATGGCCTACTTTCAACCCTGTATTTCCGTTCAAATTGAAGAAAAAGCATAGGTCCTTTTACCTCTTAGCAGTGCATTCCTTTCTTAATTCATGCAGGGATTCGTTATGCTCTTGAAGTTTCTGGTATTCAGTCCCAAACACGTTTTCTAAACAACATGAAAAAAATTAGTACCAAATATTTTCTTAGTTATCTGAAGTTTTAAAAGTAGATACTGACAGAAATGTTGGCAATAATCATAGAATCATAGAATCGTTAAGGTTGGAAAAGACCCTTAAGATCATCAAGTCCAAC